ACATTCCTTGTAAGTCTATAAGGAGCAGGAATCTCGGGGAAAATTGCTTTGAACTGAAATTGCTCACGCATCCTGCAGTCTGTCCTCTCCCGCTTGAGCCTTTGCCCCATATAAACGAAAGGAGGTGTTTTATGCGGTTTTGAATGCATTGTCACCACAATGCCCACTGCGATATCGCCACAAACTGCTCCTTGATTCGATTAATGATTACTCAGACCAATGATCTAGGATTGCCTCACTCCCTTACCCCACGGACATGCAGCAGAAAGGACGAGTATGTAGTCCTGTATGTCCGCTTTGTGAAGATTAGATTACACCTCATCAATTAGAAAAGTTGTAAGAGGATTCCTATGGAGTAACAGGCATAAAAAAGATGCAAAGGGTACAAAAATTGAGAGTTGTTGTATTTGACTGCAACAAGGTCCTAGAACGCTTTAAATGATTGTTATAGTCATGAGAAAGAAGAACATAACGTTGTGCAACCTTCTTTCGCAACGTCAATTCAGAGTACGCGCTAGCAAGTAAACTGCTGCAATTGTTCGAGATATTAACGTCTCTTCGTAGGTTTCAGATTCCAGATTTCTTTTGTATTCCTCAGGATTTCTTCGTTTGCCTTGCTTGACTTCATTTGATATTCTACGAATATAAACCTATGTTTCTTGACACATTGTGAGGATGTCCATACTAGAGGAGATCAGCAAGCTTACACAGCCCGTGTTTGATTTGCCCGACTTGGAAGATGAAGATGTCGATGGTGAGTAGGCGTTATTGCTCTGCTTTATTCGAAGTCCAAGTGAAGTAGCGTTCATTTCCCAGGAACTGCGTCGAAAACTCTCAAATCTACTCCTACTGAAGGCGTTGATGTTCCTCCTAGGCGAGTACGAAAGGCAATAGATCTGAGCATCGACGACAGCTGCAAATATGGCGGCACAAAGGTATAACTAAATAATTTTTTCTCTTATTTATACTAACGTATTCCATTGGCAGTGTCTTCTTTTCATAATCAAAAAATCCTTGCAATTTTCTTTGTTGTTAGTAGTATTTTGCTTTCTGCATAGGCAACAAATACCACGTACATTTTATGGAGTTCGTTTCCAGAGTGAATCAATCGCTTACAAGATGCAACCCCGCAGGTTTATTAGAGGGTGGTTCCGCTTAGCAGCCATATCGAGCCTCATATATGCATACATATATAGGTGTACACAAAACGACACACCAAGTTAGCTTACTTAACAAGGGGAGTTGTCTGTGGTATTCATACCCAACTCAGAACGCCTTTTGATAAGTGAAATCTTTCTTTGCGCTACATCAGACATAGGCCTCGACAGGATTCGAAAGTCAATCTTATACTCTGCCGGCTGGTATCAACGGTTCATTGGTACAAGTACCAACGGGGTCGTATTTCGAGGGTTTGAAGGTACCAACGGGGTCGTTCGGAAGGTTGAAGGGGTCTTGGTTGCCGGGGCGAGTGCGGCGTGAGTGGGGTCGTATGTTTGATAGTTTTGAGTGGATTATGCGAGAAATGGCGTAAGAATTCTTTATGGCGGCGAAATTAATAGAGAATTTGAGCTGTACGACGACTGTGCTAGCGTTTTCTGGGATTTGATTCCCTCGCACTTCGCTTTAGGCGGGCATTCTTGAAAGCGAAAATGGGCGGCCGGGTTGTGGGCGTTGCCATGTAGCGGCTTGGTTCTCAGAGATCAACTGCTTAAGTTCGAGAGGAACATCTATTATGGGCAGGGTGGTGGTCGTGGTGGTGGGAGGTCATAAAGGGGACTCCAGGTTGTTGGCGGTGGTGTGTGGAATCGTGCGAGACAAGAGGGGGGAGGGGACATAAAAATTCAAAGGGTTTCAGCACTTGAGTTGATCGTGCTCCCGGCCCAGCTTCCATTTTGATCAATCAAATCAGCTGAATTTGTTTTTCGTTGCGGTTCTCGATGCGAAAGTTCTGGTTGCCACATACTTGGAAAGACGACACTGTAACAAAGAACAGTAGTTTCATAAGGAATTCGCTCCATATTATCTCCAGAAGAAACTATCTAGGCTAAAATCCCCATCGAAATGATCCAAGCGTTTGTAAAGTTCTGTGAGCTCCTCGATGAAAAATTTGTTTTGAAAATTAGCGAAATGCACTGAGGAGAGTATCAATTTGAGTTCCTTTGAGGATGGATCAGCCCTCACAAGTGATGTCGCAATACAATATTATAATTTCCTTTAATTTCCTTTCTTATAAATTTACAATTTCTTGCACTTGTTACCGTTTTTCCTTTCGTATTTAGTGATTGTTAAGGTTTCACGCAATGACGTTTTCGATGAATTCTCAGAGATGACAGGGCTTGGAGACCAGTTAAAGGAGAATGGTGGCGAAGCGAGCAGCAGCGACGGGGAAGAGGACAGTATTCAAGAGTCGAATGGTGAGCCCAGATTTCATTTTCTTCAATATTCTCAACATTTTCTTCTATATAAAGTGATCCCTTTTCAAAGAGATCAGAGAGCTGAGCGAAAGTTCGCGCATTTAGGTGAATTTCGTTTGCTGCTTTTTTGTTAGAGTAATGGGCCATAATCTTGTTGATCACAGAACTACATCCATCAATAAATGGCATCAAAAGACCTGGAAATAGCTGCATAACATGTGAGGCAAAGAAACACACGTATGGAAGGAATACCTTTCCGGCGATGTTTATCTTGATCAACACTCTTCATGAGATCTTTCATTGTGACAGCTGTGGACTGCTTGTCGACCACTCCGTTGCTTTTCATTATCATCTTCATCAGAATTCGAATCTATCCCGCTCTCCGCTTGACCATCTTCTGAGCCACTCTAGAAGTGAGCAGAGAACGTCCTACATAAATATAAAGGTCCAAGTGGAAGAGAAAAGTTGACAAATAAAGAGGCAAAAATTATGAGCAAAGGTCCAAGTGGAAGAGAAAAGTTGACAAATAAAGAGGCAAAAATTATGAGCAGTGGAACAAGTGGAAGAGAAAAGTTGACAAATAAAG